GCCCTCACTCCCTTAAATGCAGCTTAACTTTGGACCATATAATATGAATGTGCTGCAACTAAATGATGCCTGGCACGAGTGAGCAGCTCATCAAATGTTTTTTCGATGTACCAGTGCTTTGGAAAAATAGTTCCTGCAGGTGTTCTGAAATCACCTGGAGTTTTTCAGCAGCAGCTTGATTTAATTTTCAAGTCCCTGCTGTGGTCATACAGACATAATCCGGGAAGTCCCTCACAAACAATTAGGTTCTGCAGGTATTAAGTGGCACAGCACTGCCCCATCAGATGTGTCCAACTTTTTTTTGGCCAAGTTGTGTGATTTCTAGATCTTTTAATTAGGTTCTGCAGGTATTAAGTGGCACAGTGTTGCCCCGTCAGATGCGTCCAGCTTTTTTTGGCCAAGTTGTGTGATTTCTAGATCTTTTTTGTGATTGAAGTTATTGCCATGATATTGCACTGGTTTTGATGCATTCAGTTTTCTTAGAAGACACAGAGTGACATAGCCAATGAAAGGATGGAGCAGTACAGCAGTATTTTTGGGAGACTTCTGATGAATTCCAGCTTCATAGAAGTGACAGCTGTTCCTTGAGATGTCCACAAAAACGAAGAATCACAATATGCTTTTGACCAAGTCCTTTGGTCTGTGGGAGCGGTATGAATGGGACTCCATTCCTGGGAATGACAGGAGGGCTCTTCTGAGCGCACGCTGAGACCCTGCTACTGACAATGCCCTGCACCAGAAGGCCCAGTGAAGAACTGTACGTGGCTGTGGCACTGTATTCCTGGTGGCTCTCCAGCACCATACACCAAAGCAGCTACCACTGACCATCCTTTGGCAGCTGGTAGAGCTGGAGGAGATCAGAGAGCTTGCTTAGGCTAGAAAAGGTTGGACTCGATGGTCCCGAGGGTCTCTTCCAACCTCAATGAGTCTATGATTCTATGAAAAGCTGATTCCTGTGCCACCAGACCAAACAGCTATAGACACTGCTCACAGCTTTAAAAGTCCTCTCTGAAGGCTTTTTAAAATTTCAGAAAAAAAAAAAAAAAAACAAAGGTTTTGAGAAGGCTGTCTCATCACTGTATACTGCTAGCTGCAACTGCTTGAAGAAGAAGATTTATTTCAACCAACCACTGTTGGTACTCCGTGTGCAGGCTGACAGCAGAAGAAGCGGAAAACAGAGGAGGAAAAGAAAATTTTTAAACCAATTCTGACTTAAAATAATTTCTATGCAAAACCTAGCTACATCAGTGACAGCTCTGGTTTTCAGAGGTCATAGAGGCCCTCAGCACATCATTTGTGTCTCTCTCTACAGGAACCATATGACTTTTGCAGTTACTGATTGCAGAGCAGCACTTTACAATTACATTTACAAGGAAGTTTATTCACACTTGTGCTCAGAGAAGTCCTTATTATCTGCCTTTATCCAGTTTTCTAAGGAAATTACACTGTTTGTCTATGTCTCACCCGACAAATTCTAAAACTGCTGGCTATTTCCAACCAAACTGAAAGAGCAGGAGAGGTCTCAGCAGGAGTTCAAATCCTCCGTGGTTAAACAGCTGGGGAGAAGCTTTTGCAGTGTTTCCATAAGGCAAAGGACGCAGCGTGAGCATTGCTCCTACTGGACACAAGTGAACCTGTGCAGGAGAGAGAGAGACCAAATAAATGCCCAGACCACAAGAAAAACTTCAGTTGGAGCTCGGAATAACTAAACCTTGTGTTCCAAATCCAGAGGTAGCAAAGCTTCTTTAGTTTGGGGTTCATGAGACTACTCTTATGAGATTAAAATATAATTTCACCCACTTCTTTACATCAGACACACACTGCTGTTTTTCTCCCAGCCTTCTTATAAAATATAATTAATTTACATTTTAAAGACCTTGATGGGTTTTCTCTCATCACAGAACAGTAAGTGAGATTAATAACCCAGTTACTGAGCACTGAAGCTCATGGATCACTTCCATATGAAAACACGAAAATTTTCTTCATTTTAACAACCTGCATTTCATTTGATTTAGGTGTTAATGCTCATTTCTTACATAATAAAAGGGAGAAAAGCCAAAGTATGAATCAGTGTTTATTAACCACTAATGAGACAGGCTTTTTCAGGCAAGATGGATATATCTTAATTGGTATAACTGTTGCATTGTCATTTAGCCAAGTTAATCCTTTCCAAACAAGGGAAGCAGCAGCAATTTTTTTTGCAGTGAATGGAAATAAACCTGTCACATTCTGCATATCAATTTATACATTCTTACTTTCCCACTGAAATCACTAAGAATGCAGCCCTTTGATTCCCAAAATAAGGCAATCCACAAATTAATATTAGAATGTATGCGTATATAAATGTAAATATCGCCATATATAACATATTAATTGATCTTAGTTTGTGATCTGTTTGTAAACTCAACCTGCACATTCATGGGATTAATCAAGAATTGAATGCTACATTTCCTTCAAAGAGTGTGATTTGCATCTTCAGTAGAGTCATAAGAAAGCAGATTAAAAGATGCCTTAATAAACTGTTTTCCACGGTTTGTAAAAACATAGCTTTAAGGCTGAAGTTTGTACTAATGCTGTTTTAAATAGCACTGATGTTGAATGTTGACATTTTACACAATTGCTATTGAATCCTTCTGGTTGATCCATAAAAAAGACCTTATAAAACAGCAAGTGTTTAACAGGTATTAGCAGTCTGTTAAAGAAAACTTTATATATGTCTTTTATACATAAAAACGCACTTCAAAATTTATGTTCTGGTTCAGTACATTATAAAAGATAATCCAGATAAAAACAACTGTCAGAAATATTCCAGTGTGCTGGGTAATGTTACAACAAAAGCCCAATTTCCATTACATCATTCCTTTTTCTTCCGATTTGTTTTCTGTAATACCTCAGTCCTTTCCATGAAACACTGAACAGGCATAGAACTGTGAATAACCACCACCTGCAGCTTATAACTCTTTTAGTTTATATCCCATTTCTGAAAGTGTTCTGTAGTCAACTTAAGTGCCCTCATATGAAAACCTAAGACTCCTAATTATTTAGCCAAATTTCCTGTTCTTAGACACAGCCAGATTTCCTCTGAGAGCTTATCACCTTGAGAAGAGTCAGCCTCATATTATGAGGTATCCTGCAGGGATATAATGCACAGAGGTCTGTTCATTACTAGCTGTCCCTTTGGATTTTAGGAACAATTTAGGGCAAGGTAATAGCTTTTTCTTACCTTCTCTGCACACTGAAACTGGGTCCATAAAAGCCTTAAAACACAGAAAGGAGGATCACTTAAACAGAGAGGAGGTTCATTTCTTTGAAGGCTGGTGTCTGCCACTGGAGAATGGAGAGGCATGACTGATTTCCACTGAGATGATGAGGAAACTCTGTGAAGGAGAAGGGAGGAAAGAGGATACTGCTGCAAGAAAAAGAGATCAACTTTGGTTAATCACCATTGTTTCTGAACAACTATTCCATCTTCACCAGACATGGAAATTTAGCTAATGGATAGCAGTTCCTAACATTTATCTATGCTTGATCTATGCTATCTAAACTGTGAATTATGAACTGTAAACTCTGAGAACGTTTTTGTCATGGTCATGTTAAGAAACATGCTCAAGTATTAGTATGCCTCTTAAAAGATCAACTGCTTTCCTCAGGACTGGAGGAAGAAAAAAGCAATGTGTACATATTTAAGCAATTGTTTGTAGTTAGAGAAGCTCTGCAGATATCCAGACCTGCATTCTGAACAATCCCTTGCCAATTAGACAGTTAGCAGAAACTTAACAGCTTTTTATTTCTTTGAAGTGAGCAGAGATAGTATGTAGCTAGTATAAGGCAGGCTATTCTGTGGCTTTAGTTTCACCCTGCTGTCCCATTTTCTTTCTATCTCTCTCTCTCCCTGGGTTTTTTACAGTTTGTCTGCACTGATCTCCTCTCTCTGAAATAAACTGCTTTTCTTAGGGGTGTTAAGTACGGAAAAAAGTATGGCTCTTCTTTGGAAAGCAGTATGGCTCTGAGGAATGCAATATGTATTGCTGCATTTTCCATGCCTTTTAGTATAGAAGATATGTGCTTCTCAGCACAAATAGCCTGCAGCACTCTTCAAAACGAACTGTCAGCTCACTATGGATAAAACCAATTTTGTCTGATGTCCAGCTTGCCCACAAGAAAGTAAGAGGCATCTCAGCAAAAAGGTGATATGCTGAGAAATCTCCTTTCCTAAGGAATACACCGCGAGCATTACAGGTCTCTCACGAGGCTCTGGAGTTCATCAACCCAATCCATGCACCTTTTTGCCCAGAGAGCTGTGCATGGAATTAATCCCTGAACAGCTAATGAGATCTGCTTGGACATTATCTTTGCAGACAGTAACTGTGTTCAAGTCTTTCTTGCTTTTCATAGAGTGCAAGACCTCTCCATCCCCGAGTGTAAGAAATCAGGAAAGGAGGGCAAGAGACCCTCATGGCTGAGTCGAGACTAAAGGGCAAGAAGGAAATGCACAGGCAGTAAGAGCAGGGACAGGTATCCAGGGAAGACTGTAGGGACACTGCTGGTTGTGTAGGGATGGGGACAGGAAGGCCAAGGCGCAGCTGGAGCTGAAATTGGCAAAGGACACAAAGAATAAGGGTTTCTCCAGGTACATCAGCCAGAAAAGGAAGGTCAATGAACGCGTACCCCACCTTGATGAGCAAGACTGGCAAACTGGTGACAATGAACGAGGAGAAGGCTGAGGTACTCAACTACTTTTTTGACTCAGTCTTCACACCTCTCCCATGGGGACAGAGAGACAGAGGGACAGACTGAGAGAGTTGGAGTTGTTCAGCCTGGAGAAGAGAAGGCTCCAGGGAGACCTTTTTTTGCAGCCTTTCAGTACTTAAAAGGGGTTTATAAGAAAGATGGGCCTGTTGTGATAGACAAGGGGTAATGGCTTTAAACTAAAAGAGGGAAGATTTCAACTAGTGAGAAGGAAGAAATTTTTTAGCATGAGGGTGGTGAAACACTGCAAGAGGTTTCTCAGAGAGGTGGCAGATGCCGCATCCCTGGAAACATCCAAGGTCAGGTTGGACAGGGTTCTGAGCAACCTGATCTAGTTGAAGATGTCCTGGCTCATTGCAGGGGCATTGAACTAGATGACCTTTAAAGGTCCCTTCCAACCCAAACTATTCTATGGTTCCCTTTCATTAAAAATATCAAGTGCATGATTTACAGTCAAGTCTGAGATTTAGTGACTTACCTGCAAAAATTCAAGTACAGCTTATAACTAGAAAAACAAAATCAGAAGAATTTGGTCATGAGGACTATTGAAATTTTATTTGAAAGCAGTGGGCTGTAAATTAATTAATTATTTACATGGTAGTACTGTCACTTGCTGGTCCTTCACACCAGGACTAAAGGAGCAGGTACATGGTTGAGGACTCTTACTGGAGCTATTACTGTGATTGGGGTAATGGTCACAGTGAGAGTCCTTGACAGAGATGCCATAACTGGTGGTTCTCTTTGCATAAGATGTTGCTGACCTCGCTGAACATAAGTACATGTAGCTGGGACACAGAGAGCTTCATGCACTAACAGGATAAGCGGTGCCAAACCATGGACTTTGTGAAATTACTCTTATCCCAGAATAAGGGTTTTATTAAGTGCTTTCAGCTTCATCGTCTCCACATGCTTTTGAACCTTCTCTCTGAGCTTGTTGTTTTGGGGTTGAAAATGTCCATCTGGTTGGTTGTGCAGGTCTCTGCAAGAAGTTTAAAATGTCATTTGTATTTATAGTAGCCAGGGGAGCCACTTAGGAATGCTGACAAAAACAAAGGAAGAGACACTCATACATAATTTCTCTCTTTTTTATACACAGAGAGTATTCCATTACTTATACAGAACTGGAAAAGGAGTGAAACTGTGAAAAGAACATTCATTCTTGGCTTGGCCAGTTAGGAAAGCTAACCATCTGCTAAGTAAACACATAGTAGACTGAGTTTTACATTCTATCTATGGAGGAACATATGCTGTAATGTCCAGAACAAGAGCATCCAGATGAAAAACTCATTTGCCTTAAGGATAAAATGCTGAAACTGCTGTAGAGGAGCAATATGTGCTCTGTCCTCTAGTGAAACACCACCCCACTGATAACAGCAAAGAACTTTTCAGTGACAAAAGAAATGATTGGGACTACGTTGTTTGCTAATAAAGTTTTTTTTCCCCTCTTTACAAAGCCAAACAAATAAGGAAGCTTTAAACAAGTAAATAGAGGTGTTTAATATAGAAAAGCATTTCCAATTTTGAAGAAAACATCTAAAACTTCAAAAATAAACAAACTTATGGTTATAAAATTACTTACCCAGTAAAAGCACTGTCCAATGTTGTACCACTGTGGAAAAAAAAGGTCACTCTTTAGTTACACAAGCTATCCCAAATCCCCATGTTCCAACAAGCAGAGTGTCATAAAATGCAAAAAGCAGCACTGAGTCTGACACACCTGTTTCTACAGCAAATTATTTTCAATCAGTGCTGTAGTAATCACAATACATCAATTACTGTTTTGTCAGAGAGCTCATAATATGTAACGCCGTTTTAATCGTTGACAGTTGCACAGGATTTCAATGTCAATCAAATAATCTCTCTCTAAAATTAAAGAAAATGAGACACTCGAATCTCTTGATGACTCTGAAACTTTCAGGCTATTATACACATCCTGACATCTAAGTCATATCACAGCCACTTTAAAGAGGGGGCAACTGTTGGACAGAAAGATTAATTCACTTGCTCCAAGTCACACAAGGAAAACATCGAGTTAGAAGTAAGGACTTTCTCTCGTTTTGCTCTGCAATCACTTGTCCTGCCCAGACTGCCTGCTGCTCAAGCCCGCTGCCCACAGTGTCCTACTTACCGGCTCATACACCGCCTTGCGTCCTTCCTGCAACATCACACACCCCCAAGTTTCACACAGTGCATCCACTTCTGCTTCCAGCCCCACAGAATTACCGGGCAGTCCTGAAATGCTGCTCTTAAACCATGGTGGTAACCATAGAATCACAGAGTTGTCTAGGTTGGAAGGGACCATTAAGATCATCTAGTCCAACCATCAACCTAACTCTGATAAAAAAACCATCACTAACCCATGTCACTAAGCACTAAATCATCAACCTCAACAAAAACCCATTTGTCCCTCGGAGCTTTCCTTGTCCTTAGGTTCCCCCTCAAGGTTTCTCTGCTGAGATGCAAACTCAGGACATTGGCCTGACAACACTGAAGGCAAAAGGCAGAATTTGGCTCTTACTGTGGCCAGTCCACCACATCGTAGAGAACAGGCAATTCTGTATTTCTGAACACAGGTTAGTTTACATGCTGTGCTGTGTGCCTACAACACAATGTGTGTTGGTGGAGTGTAAAGCTTGGACAGCAGAACAAATGTGACCCACACCGAGGAAAGGCCTGAGAACAAAGCACCACGCCAGGAGGAAATTCTAAGGGTTCCTTCCTCTGCCAGCATTAATAAATATCTAACCAAAAGGGTCATTGAAAGGCAAAAGCCACTGGTCCAAGAACACTGAATATCTCTGCGAAGGCAAGGAAAGTGCCTCAAGCATTAGATCATACTGATAAAAGTAAAGTCAGAGACACCCAGGCCAGTGTGTCACATTCACCCCTCTTTTCTGAAGTCCAATCCAGAGATGGCATTTGCAGTGCGAATTCGCTCAAAGTACTAGATCTGCATCCAACTCATGACAGAGCTCCTAGAGCATCTCTTCTTTCTACATAATTCTGAAAGGGATGCTTGTCTTCAGATTCTTTCCCATTCCTCTCCCCCAATTTCAAATTATACCTACCTTTTTTCTTTTGCTGGTTTCTCTTTGTCTTCTTCTGAGAGGGCCTGCCCTATTTGCAGAAATTCAGCTCTCACCATCTCTGGAGTAAGAATCATTTTGTACTCAGTTTCATCTGTCTCACTAAAAATTAGTAAGATGAGTAAGAATTGGGATTTATCCTTTTAAAAGTATTTTTTAGCCAACAAAACCAAAAGTACATTTTATGCAAGAGGGACTTTGTGCTTTTGTCATTGAGGATCTCTTGGGATAGGTTTAGACACATCCACCCAATTGGTTAAAACATAATCAGTCACACTGAATACAACATAGAGGAGAAACTTACTAGTCAATTATGTTCTCCCTGTCTCTCTCAGGTAAGTCACACAGCATTGGTGGTACATCCCTTGGAAGCATATCCAAACTGTAAGGATCCCTGCGATGGAAATGGTATTAGTTTAAGGTGAACAGAGAGTAACTGCACTCAATGCTTATATTTTGAAGCTTCACAGTAGTTGTAGTTACAATGAAGATGATGTACTTTTAAATATTCCTGGGAAATCTAACTACACTAGAAACTGCCGTGATATGAGGGAACATGAGCCTGGGAGATGTTGGCTACCACTGGGTGCAGGGGCCCATATGTTAAAGGTTTTACTGCTCATACTTCTGCAGGACAGACAGAGAAAAAGCAGCACTGAGTCTGACACACCTGTTTCTACAGCAAATTATTTTCAATCAGTGCTGTAGTAATCACAATACATCAATTACTGTTTTGTCAGAGAGCTCATAATATGTAACGCCGTTTTAATCGTTGACAGTTGCACAGGATTTCAATGTCAATCAAATAATCTCTCTCTAAAATTAAAGAAAATGAGACACTCGAATCTCTTCTCTCTAAAATTAAAGAAAATGAGACACTCAAATCTCTTGATGACTCTGAAACTTTCAGGCTATTATGCACATCCTGACATCTAAGTCACATCACGGCCACTTTAAAGAGGGGGCAACTGTTGACAGAAAGATTAATTCACTTGCTCCAAGACACACAAGGGAAACATCGAGTTAGAACTAAGGACTTTCTCTCGTTTTGCTCTGCAATCACTTGTCCTGCCCAGACTGCCTGCTGCTCAAGCCCACTGCCCACAGTGTCCTACTTACTGGCTCATACACTGCCTTGCGTCCTTCCTGCAACATCACACACCCCCAAGTTTCACACAGTGCATCCACTTCTGCTTCCAGCCCCACAGAATTACCGGGCAGTCCTGAAATTCTGCTCTTAAACCATGGTGGGCCCCACAGAATTACCGGGCAGTCCTGAAATGCTGCTCTTAAACCATGGTGGTAACCATAGAATCACAGAGTTGTCTAGGTTGGAAGGGACCATTAAGATCATCTAGTCCAACCATCAACCTAACTCTGATAAAAAAACCATCACTAACCCATGTCACTAAGCACTAAATCATCAACCTCAACAAAGACCCATTTGTCCCTCGGAGCTTTCCTTGTCCTTAGGTTCCCCCTCAAGGTTTCTCTGCTGAGATGCAAACTCAGGACATTGGCCTGACAACACTGAAGGCAAAAGGCAGAATTTGGCTCTTACTGTGGCCAGTCCACCACATCGTAGAGAACAGGCAATTCTGTATTTCTGAACACAGGTTAGTTTACATGCTGTGCTGTGTGCCTACAACACAATGTGTGTTGGTGGAGTGTAAAGCTTGGACAGCAGAACAAATGTGACCCACACCGAGGAAAGGCCTGAGAACAAAGCACCACGCCAGGAGGAAATTCTAAGGGTTCCTTCCTCTGCCAGCATTAATAAATATCTAACCAAAAGGGTCATTGAAAGGCAAAAGCCACTGGTCCAAGAACACTGAATATCTCTGCGAAGGCAAGGAAAGTGCCTCAAGCATTAGATCATACTGATAAAAGTAAAGTCAGAGACACCCAGGCCAGTGTGTCACATTCACCCCTCTTTTCTGAAGTCCAATCCAGAGATGGCATTTGCAGTGCGAATTCGCTCAAAGTACTAGATCTGCATCCAACTCATGACAGAGCTCCTAGAGCATCTCTTCTTTCTACATAATTCTGAAAGGGATGCTTGTCTTCAGATTCTTTCCCATTCCTCTCCCCCAATTTCAAATTATACCTACCTTTTTTCTTTTGCTGGTTTCTCTTTGTCTTCTTCTGAGAGGGCCTGCCCTATTTGCAGAAATTCAGCTCTCACCATCTCTGGAGTAAGAATCATTTTGTACTCAGTTTCATCTGTCTCACTAAAAATTAGTAAGATGAGTAAGAATTGGGATTTATCCTTTTAAAAGTATTTTTTAGCCAACAAAACCAAAAGTACATTTTATGCAAGAGGGACTTTGTGCTTTTGTCATTGAGGATCTCTTGGGATAGGTTTAGACACATCCACCCAATTGGTTAAAACATAATCAGTCACACTGAATACAACATAGAGGAGAAACTTACTAGTCAATTATGTTCTCCCTGTCTCTCTCAGGTAAGTCACACAGCATTGGTGGTACATCCCTTGGAAGCATATCCAAACTGTAAGGATCCCTGCGATGGAAATGGTATTAGTTTAAGGTGAACAGAGAGTAACTGCACTCAATGCTTATATTTTGAAGCTTCACAGTAGTTGTAGTTACAATGAAGATGATGTACTTTTAAATATTCCTGGGAAATCTAACTACACTAGAAACTGCCGTGATATGAGGGAACATGAGCCTGGGAGATGTTGGCTACCACTGGGTGCAGGGGCCCATATGTTAAAGGTTTTACTGCTCATACTTCTGCAGGACAGACAGAGTTTGTACCTCGCAGGGTCTTCTAGCACTGAATCAAAAAGTATTCAAGAGAGGTGTTATTGAAAGTCCAGGCTGGAACTCTCCTTCTAGGGCTAGGCATTTCTTCTCATGATATTGTTCTTAACCCGTCCTTCAGGGAGGTCAGTAGGGGTTTTGTCCATTGGTTTTGGATTTCTGAGCAGCAATTAAATCCTCCCATAAGCCCATTTTTATCTGTGGGACTAGTTACTGGTCAATGTAGTTACAGACAGCAGAAACTGGTGCAAGGTAGAGGCACTGGACGTTCTAATTCCTTCTTACCTAGGTATTGTACTTGTCAATGTGGGAACGTTAGAGAAAGTGGAATACACCACGGGTAAGAATTTTCTCCATTCCATTACTCCAGAAATCACTTCCTGAAATGACAAGTGCTACAGTGATCAGACCTCTAATGCAGAACACTGCAGGGGAGGGAGGCTGCAGGACAGAGCATCTGACTTCTTGGCTGAGAATTGAGTCTGCAGGGGCTGCAGTTCTACATGTTTAAAAGGTGCTTCCTCCACTGCAAGGTCACGAAAATACAACAGACAGTGAAAAAAAGGAAAGAGCAGAGAAATACTCAGGGATAAAAAAGAGACATGGATAAAGAGACAAGAACAAGTTATTCTGACCCATGCACCTATTATTTAGGTGCACACATAATTTATATCTGAGAATGCCTTCTGTCTAGGACGACTCTTCATCTTCCTTTTTTATTCCTTAGACCAAATTCTCAGCAAGAACATACTGAAGCCAGGTACTCATACAATAAACCCAAAAGGCCATACCTCATGATGCAGAAATTTCTTTTGTGTGACTGGAATACTGGATTCTTTGGGGCATTCCTTGGTAAAGACATATTTTGGATGAGGACAGAGATGATATTCAATATTTGTTTCAGAATAGGCCAAAGGAGGTAAAACTGGAACTAATCCTGGAGTGGGGTTCTAAAAACAAAGAGGAGATTATTTTAAAAAATTGCTCTGAGCACCATGAGGAACAAAATTGATGAAAATTCAGTTCTTACAATTAACGTGGTCTCCCCAGATTCACATCTTTATCTCATTGTGATTGTTCTGTTTGGTGTGACCCATCATTTCCTGTCTCTTCCCCTCATCACAGACCCATAATCTGCCTGGTTTACCCATGCTCTCTGCTGTCTAAAATATAGCAATTTAGGTGTTGTCTCCAAGTGTGGAAGAAAAAACTATCACCCGATTACTCCAAAATCCATTGTTTATTCTCTGAACAGTCCAGAATCCAAGAACGGGAACTGGCCTCGCTGTGGTGGAAGCTTGTGAGCATTTTGCCATTTCTTTCACCACACTGCATCTGTTTCTGAATACAGTCTAATGCTGGACAGAGTGGGATCAGGCTGTGCCTGGCTCTTACCCTGACATGATAGAGATATGAAAGAGATGCACAGAGGTTCTAATCAGTAAATCCACTGGAGTCCTGGCCGTTATGCAAGCAGGACAAGTCTATACCCTGTATGTTATCCCAGGATCACCAGACTAGCACACTGGGCCATTGCAGCTAAGTAATGCTGAAAGGTGGAGCCACCCAAGGCGGGCACAGTGCCACTCTGGCTTGGAGATGCTGCCTGGTACCCATGAGTGCTAAGTGATACAGCTATCTCTGCCTGCTCAGAGACACCTCACAGAGCCCTGGGCTATGCTGCACTGTGTGGGAAATACCTTCTGTAGTAGGTGCCAAGTAGCACAATCTACATGACAATTAAGTAACAGAAAATCTTTCCATGCACATGGTTGTGATTTTTTGAATCTCTGGGCCTAATAATTTGGAAATGTGGCTTTGGGATGCTATGAGAACTACTGGAAACTCTAAGGCAGCTGAAAGCAATGTGAGCAAAGAGTTTGACGCTATTTCTCTCAGTTTACCTAAGGCTCAGACAGAATTGGAGTCCTCTGGCTGAACAGAAGGAAAAGACTGCACCTGTCCTACCTACCTGGGCAAGAGCACGAGGTTATAGAAGGACTGAGATGCCAAGACCATGGGTTCTTTCTAACATCCAAATGAGGAAACAAATGGAGAAGAAGGGAGGGGCCCCATGGTGCCCAGGAATCCTGGGATCAGTAACCATTTGTGGAGTGTGAGACTGAAGGGTTTCAGTTCTCTGCCATCACTGGCAACTTTGCCTTATCATCCCTCCCCTAAACTGATCAAATTGCACCTTAAGTTAAATGGTGCCCCTCTCAGTTGGATAAGCTCTGTGACTCCTACCTATCAGGGCTTGCACCAGGAAGGACCACTCTCACTCTGGATAGTTTTACATAACAATCTGAGCAAGAAAATTGCCCACCAATTGATGGTGGGCATGATGCCTACCATCACGCTTCTGATGAAACAAACACCTTCTCCCCTCCTTTCTTGGGTTCTTTGTGGAAGTCAGCCTCTACTTACAAAAATGCGAAGTGGGTCGCTCTCTGTAGGACAGACTAAAGCCTGGGGAGGAGCCAGTTTTAAGAGGCTTTCTGCTCCTTCTTCTGGGGATGGCTTGTGAACATCCGTCCTCTCCAGCTGCTCCTCAGGAGAAGCAACTACTTCAATCAACTCATCCTTTAAAAACACAGATACACAAGGTTTTCAGAGCTTTTTGGTATAAAATGTTGAAGCAAAATAAATTAAATAATTGTAGAAACGTAGGGTTGGGAGTGACTTCAGCAAAGTATTTGAGAGGACTTGTTACCTGGGCTCTCTGCCTCAGTGGTCGGGAAAGTTTTCGAGGTTTGTAACTTGTGGCTGCATAGTGTGTACAAAATGGCTGATACTTCCTAATGCTGAAATGCTGAGGAACCTACATGTAAAGATAAAAGATGCACTGCAGGAGATGACAATAATCACTTTTGATTAACTCATAGACGGAATGGAACATTCCAGCTTTATCACGGAAACGTAACATCTCTGTGGTAAAAGATATGTGGATCACTATTCTGAAACATGGTACATGACCAAAACTTTGAGAAGCCATACTTAGAATCACAGAATCGTTCGGGTTGTAAGGGGCCTTAAAGATCATCTGATTCCACCTCCCTCCAGACCAGGTTGCTCAAAGCCCCATCCAAACCTGGCCTTGAACACTTCCAGGGATGCACCAGGACAAGCTGAATGAGTGCATAAAGGAATATTTCCATTCTCGCTTTTCTATGAAAGATCATGGATTTAGCAGTTTCTTGATCAAATATACTGAACTTAATGGAGTGGAGAAAAGCTGTGTTAAGTAATATACGTAACACTGATAGATGAAGCAATATGTAATAATACAAGAAAGATTCCAGCTGAATCTGAAAAAAATTGTTACACCATCTGAAAAAAAAAAAAAAAAAAAAAGTGGACATTGAGCCAAAATCTACATTGATTTGAGCCTGAGGAAATATTTTTACTTTGATGGGGTGCAGAATTTGATCTTTTGCTATCCAAAATTGGAGAGAAAAGAGTTTAGAAGTCAGGAGGGAAAAACTGTTTCTGTACTTATAAAGCTGAAAAAACATTATATATTTCAAAAAGGAGATGTTTGCATTTTCTATGCAGGAATGAAGGAACTAAGCATGCAGAACTATATTCCAAATAAACAGAAGACTTCCATTATTTTCTAAAAGGAAGGGCACTTTTTTTTGTCGTTTTTCTTCTTCTGCAAAATCATGGATGTTAACTAATTCTGATCATTAATGTATAACTCAGAATTTTAGAATGCAATTAAGAGAATGCAAAGATTTTTTTATTGTTTTCAGCAGCATCCTTAGTAAATTTGAAGCCCTGAATTAATTTGTCAGAACACCAGAACACCAGTCACATTAAGAAATTTTAATAAAGGTAGTACTGGACCTGGGGCCAGTATCTTCAACAAAATTCTATCATCTTGAGTGTTGGCCACCATTTAAGCTACCATACCTACCAAATCACGGTAAAAGTCACGGGAACTGTGAAAGGGGACTATACGATCTTCAGATCTGCTGGAAGAAAAGTCCTTCCGTTCTCCACTTTTCTCTGGTTTGCTGAAACTCCTGCTGTCTGTCATGATTGGAAAGCAAAAACTATGATTTTGTAACATATCGTAATACGCTGTTTCGAAAAAAGAATCAAGCCAAGAATATATATTTAACATTTCCTAAAACAGAATGTGTCTAGAAATTTTAATATAAAAGGTAAGTTAGTAGTTCCTAAAGGCTTTAAAACCCACATCTACAAGATAGCAGACACAATCCCTTAACTGGCAGACAGATCTGATTTTCCCTTTTCTAAAAGGACATCACAGCCAGCTCACTCCAGCATGGTCCTTTATCTCATTCAGTCAGCAAGTCAGATACAAGTCAGAAGGCCTCTCTTACACCATTTACCATTACACCTTCTACCTGAAGATGCCCCATGGAAACATTCAAAGTCAGGATGGACAAGGCTCTGAGCAACCTGATCTAGTTGAAGATGTCCCTGCTCGTTGCAGGGGGATTGGACTAGATGACCTTTAAAGGTCCCTTCCAAGCCAAACTATTCTGTAATTCTACCTTGTCACAATTCATTTTTTTCTGGAAGACTCCTTTATAAGGACTCTGTCTCTACATTTAGATGTAACGCACTTCCTACACTGCAGTACAACCTGAATTATCGTAATATCAAAATACCAACTTGGTTTTCTGCTCCTTACCAGACACAGAGTCTTCCTTCAAATCTCTGGCTTCTCCGGATAGCCCGCGGAACAGAAGCAGTAAACGATTTAGCCGAATCTGAGTCACAATCTGAGACAATGATTTTAAAGTTTAATATTAAGCTGAGCACTCGAAGATTTACAGCCATAGAAATAAACATACATTACAAGTGTATTTATTCTACAGAGCTCACTCAGACATCTCTATTTCAGAATTTTTACTACAGTTTTCTGTTCAGGAGGGAGAAAGTGGGGAAGGAGAGGTGCAGAATGGACCTCAACTCTACAGTGTCAATACACATCAAAACCAGTTCAAACCTGCATTTAGTCTTACAGTTTAATTAGACTTTTTTTTTTTTCCACTAGGTCCTAATCCTTCAGCTGTGTCTATTGGCATATACAGATTTAAAAATGAGTAAACAAGCAGTTGATCAGGGCCATATGAATACTTGCTGTTTTGTGAATGAGGAAAATAAGTAGTAACCTGCACTGTGCAATTTGCCTAGTGCCAGATATCACAGGGTAACAATGAAGAGCCCTAGGTATTAATACCAGAAAGTGTCATTTAGCCACCTCCTTATTTGTGCAACACAGGAAAGAGCATTTCATTTCAGGACCTCCATATTGAGCCTACTATTGTAAACTGAATGGAGAAAAATATCCAAACTGGATAGTAGGAGAACAGGACATTTCCATATTGCCTGCTACATTTAGATTTACTCTGAAAAGAGCAGTGGAGATGCAAGATAATATTTAAACCCAATGAGGTAAGTGATTTTACTGATTAGTCTTTAGCTTCCAGGTTGGAAGGGATCTTAGGAGGTCTAACCTCCTGCTCCAAGCAAGGTCAGTGATGATATCAGACCAGGTTGCTCAGGGTTTTATCCAATCTGGTCTTGAAAACATCCAAGGATGTAGGCGGTACAACCTCTCTGGCCAACCTGCTCCAATGAGTGACTGTCCTCATGGTGAAAAAGGCTGTCCTTAGACACAGTCTGTATGTCTTTTATTTGAATTTATGCCCATTGTTTCCATGTTCCCACCATGCAGCATTGCAAAGATTCTGGCTCCATCACCAATAACCACATAACAGGTGCGTTGGAAGGTGCTGCTCTCTCCTTCTACTTTCCCTCCCCCAGCTGAGTGTCTCCTCACAGAGTGCTCCAGACCCCAACCATCTTAGTGGCTCTACACTGCACACACTTCAGCTTTCTGATGTCCTTCTTGTACCGGGGGCCCAAAACTGGGCACAGTATTCTATACGCATTTTGAAATATTCTCTTTTTTGTGCAAAAATGTTTATTTAAAAAAAAAACAAAACAAACACAACAAACTAAATTCATCTGCATTTGTTTAGTATTGATTGCAATACTAAGCACCAGCAGAATCACCAGCTGAAGCATTGGCTGAATACAAAACTTACTCCAGATCCTTATTTCCTGGTGAAGGAGGGAAATATTTATCGAACTATCAAATCCCTGGGTAGCTGTGAAGACTCCTTATGTGTTAGTTTGCACGTTCTTCTGTGCTATTTCCAAGGCATCGTGCCATCACACTGCATTCTGGTTGTTCACCTTACCTTGTATGCTGCTTGTTGGAATTTCCTCAACATCCTGTTTCTGTTGTCCCAGGGGTCATTACGGAGCAAGTTGAATGTGGGATGGACGCTTGGACGCTGCATGGTATTTTTTAAAAAACAGAAACGGAAAAGAAAAAGGACACCTGTTTTACAACTAGACAAGGGAGAAATTTCCTCCAGCCCAAGCCATTCCTTGGCCTGAATCCATATGTTATTTCTAAACACTGAAATTAAGTCAAATGAAAATGTTTGCAGTATTGGCATTTAACCAGAAGCCCGCACTTGCACAGGGCTTAATGGGAGGTAATCAGATATAATGTAGCATGGTCTGCATCCACCCAAATGACAACCACATACTATGACTTAAGTGCAACACAGGGGCAGTCAGTCAGTGAGGAGAATGGAGTAGGTCTCTACCGAATGCACAGCTGTGAAGTTGGAATAGCTGTAAGGGCTCAAACCAAGGGCCCAGCAAAACCAGTATCATGTCTCCAATAATGGCTGATAGGACATACTTAAAGAATGGCAAAAGACCGGGGTAAACTCCGGAGTGATAATTCTCCAGAATAACTTCCCCACCTCTAGTGATCTCTGGCTCTGGACATACTTGAGGCAGAAGCGATGCCTCTATATTTAATGCCTTAAATTGTCAAAATATTCTTTGAACACAAGTAAATCCCTTTCTTGATGCATTAAATCCAGTTTTAAATTGATGTAACAGAAGAATGTGGCACTAGAAGAGGCTCCAGTGGCCACAGAGTACAGTACCTCTCAACAGGAAGGCAGCTGCTCAACCAACATTTAGATTAGGAAGGTCCTCAGAACACCTTCTCCACCCAACCCCATGCCATGCCTTGCCAATTTTCAGCACTTTGTAAAACAGGCGTAAGTGTATAGTAAAAGACCAACTCCCACAGCTATCCTGTTCCTCAAGAAGGTAACACTTTATGTTGCTAACATTCAAAGTTCCTTCAGTAGCAGGGCATCTATTAAACAAAGCTCCCAATAATCCTAGGGAATGGGTCTTAGGAAGTACCTCACACCACAGAGAAGGACAAAAAAAAAAAAATCAAAGTACCAGAAAGGTTCCTATCAATCTGACCTGTGGTTGCAACACTGTACTAGAATTAAAATGGAAAATAAGACCCTGACACAGAAATAGGAATATTAGGAGGAAAAGTATTCAGTGCCAAATATCTATGGATGTTTGCTGGCTTAGTAGGGGACAATACCTGGTTGGACTAGATGATCTTTAAGGTCCCTTCCAACCTAAAGGATTCTATGATTCTATAACAACATATCAACAAACCTGGTCAACAGGCCGGACAACACGTCTGAAAGAAACTTCTACTTCGTTCCTTTGAAACTCCTGTTCCAGGATAGGATCCCCTCTTTGGATCTAAGGAAGAACAAGCACATTAGTACAAAGCATCCAGTGAATTTTTTTTCTCCTTTACAACTAGTGGAATCCACTCACGTAACTTTCTGGAGGTGCTTGACAAAACACAGACTTCATTCCCTTCTAGGGAGTGATTATTACAACCCTTGAGCAAGTCAAACAAAGTAAAATAATGCTTATTTGGGTCTAAGTTTCAATCAGATCTCTGCTGTAATGAAACACAGTTTCTCTTGCATAGTCAGAATCAGCCAGAGAGGGGTTACAGAACCAACACCATAAGTTGGCACCCAAACACATCTTCCCAGATGACAGCGCTACAGAAATTTTCTGCAGCTTTCAATGTTCTGTGAACATCTCTGTCATGGTTTCCAGTGGCACCAAACAGGTTACTACTGGTATCATTTCACTTCTTTGAGATCCTCTCAAAGTGTTTGGGCATGCTGGATAAATACCAGTGCTTCTTTTCATTGTGTCTCTTCCATCCCAGTCCTACTTACCCATTGTTTCATTTCCAGGATACTGTTATGCCTTAAACAAAGACCTTGGGGTTATTCTACAGAGTGAAATTCCCATGATTTTCATGGACTGAGGTTTTAATTAGTACAATGGAAGATAGATCAGGTCTCCAGGACTGCCACTCCCAGGCTGTATAACATAGTGACCACTTGAGCAACTGATAGAGGGACAGTAAATACTCTGTGAGGCCTAATGACACTAGAGGTGAACAAACTGACAGCATGAGCAAAAATACACCTCTGTCAGATAGTTATGGAGGCAACTGCATTACCAACCAGAGATATCCGAACCTCTGTGGCCAACAGGTAAATAAATAAATGTTTCTAAACACAGTTAACATACATTTAATTCAGTGATACAACAGTCTCACAATGTAGATCCTCTTTTTACTCACTTCCTTTTTGCTAGTATTAAATATAATGTTTTAATTAATTCACAGCACCAAATTCAGTGTATAAATTAAGCCTTTACCTTATCTCTAAATAATTTTACTCCCATAAACAGCTCCTTGGAAGTCAGTGGGATGTCAGAAGCTACTTGAGTATCCAGGAGGCAGAATAAGAGGGACAAGCCCCACCTGTCCCTTGAGGGCTGTGCCACATGGGGAAAGATATTTCCTGCCACCAAGTATTGCTGCTGTCACCTCCATGGAAGGTGACCTGCAGACTGGGGTGACTGGAAGAAACCAAAGAGAGAGAAGGTGCAGGTGTAAAAGAACAATCTGCTGAGTTATCTCCCCATGGCTCTGCATGAGAGTACTGACTGGGTTTAGCTCTTTGACTGTGAGCCATTCAGGACACCAGCTCTTCAGGGAGGTGCAACAGAAACAGACAGTTGAATTTGGTCACGGTGCTGACAGGATTACACTGCCACATTGCACTGTGATGTGTCTGGGTGCAAATCTGCTAGGTTGGGCAAATATCTAGTTACATTTCCTTTAATATATTATCATTCTCTCTGTCTACCTCCAAGATACAGCCACCTCAGAAACAGTGATACACAGGCGTAATAAAGGCATAACTACAGTAAGAAGTAGAGTTAGTACATGTTTGCATTGATGTATGAAGAAAAACTGAAGACATAGAGAACTTGATACAATTCACTAGTGTATCTGAAAGTATAAGTTTGATTTTAAATTTACAGAAAAAACAGCAAAGACTAACCTTGTATTGCTCTTCTTCCCTCTGTCGGTTTTCAATAATCTCTTTTTTAAATTCCACAGACATCGGATCTTTGCCTTTATGAACCTGCCTGCATTTAAAGTGGAGGCATAAAAAATGCTTTACTTAGTGCATAGTTTTCTGTACTTTAAGGCTAACAGACTTATTCTCCTCTTCCTAAGGTGTCTACAAGTCCATAACATTCAGCATAAGAGCAGATCTGTGGATTGCAAATGAAACCACAATGTGCTTACACTCATGACTGTGTTTTGCTTTATGCCATTTGATGTATGTGTGCAATTCTGTTCACTCCAATATACATTTTAGCCTTGAGTTATTGACAAAAGCTTCCTTGCCCTTAAGGGCACAAGATGAGATGCCTGAGAGCAAGGCTATAGGTGAACAAGGTTTTCAGCAGGTTCCTTTCTGAGTGCAACCAGAAGACAATCAAAGACCGCATTGGGTACTACTATGAATTACTGCTGAGACTGCTCTTAGTCAGAAGAGAAAAGAAAAGAAAGTAAAACAACAGTAACTTAGCTGTAAAACAAACCTATCAGGTCATGAAATGGCAGCATTATGCACTAGTGGATATTGCATACGTCATTCATAGAGGCCTTAGCTAAGCAAACCCCAGTTTTGTTGCTGCTAACCCGCACTTACCACTTCAGATGATTTGCTTGCTCTTCCTGAATATTTTGTTTGACTTTTAATTGAAATATGGCTTCCTTCATCTCTCTTGTTTTTATCCCTTCACTGCCTTGGCAAAGCACTGCAGGAATACCAGAAAGCCGTATCACACCTCAAACTAGACTGAATTTTTAATTGCAAAATCCACCTATTATGATAACTGAACTCATTAAGACATAAAGCTGAGATTTCTTACAGAAAGTGCAATCACATCACCTCAGCAATTCCAAAGCTGAGTTCCTCATAAGAAATCTACAAATAATGCTATGACCAAGTTTATGCTGCTTAATTATATTACCTTCTTTCAAGTCCTTAATCTTCAATTTGCCTGGTTCCTGATTCAAAACAGTAGCTACAGCATATGGGTTTGACAAGTCTGTGGGGAATCTGAGGTTCTGGTATTCAATTTCCTATGAGATAAAAATTAATAGGAAGAAATAGAAACAAGAAAGATTCTCAGCCCAGAAAAAGCGCTTGTGATTATAATCTCTTCTCACCTTTACTTTTTGAAGAGGCCTCGATCGTGGTCGGCTGAATTGGCCTCTTCTCCACACCATGGATTTTCCTGCAGACACAGCTTTTTTCTCTGGAGCAGTTTGTTGTTTGTCAAAACGTTCTTTTCTAAGTGTCAGAAAGACAGATATTGCTCTTGTAAGTACCCTGTAAATGGCATAAAATCTAGTACATGCATTTACATCCCCTTTAGATATACAAGGAGACTGGAAATTTCTCTCCTAAATTATAACTGGAACCAAAATTTCTAGTCTTCAGAGATCACAAAGTATTATCAAGTACAGCCCAAAAGACCTTACTGCTCAAAACCCTCTTGCAAGGCTTTAGCAGTAAGAATAATATAGAGCAGGGATAATAGAAGCTGAGGATGTTCAACACTTCCTTAAAGATATGTAACTTCTTGTTATTTTTATTATGGTACAATTTCACTTCATACAGATTAAGGGCATTCCGAGCAAATTATGCAAGAGAGTAGGTACATGTATCAACAGTTTAATTGCATTGATGCATTTTAAGTCTCCATAGATACAAATGCTTCAAATTATTACAGCAAAATGGCATGAAATCCTACTACACAGGTATTTTTTATCACTGGGTAAAAATACTGAAAGATCAGTCAGCCACACATACATTAGACCCAGATGTGGTGTTGATGTTCCTGTGAATACACACACATAAGGCTTTGAGTGAAACTGTGAAATCAGTAACTGCATTGTCATTTGTGCTGTTCCATACTCAAGTGGGGAATATTTCACAGTTACTTCCACTTTTCCATTGCCTGGAATGATTCCTGTGATCAGAGGAGAAAAACAGTAAGAGTGCATCTAACATGAGCCCACTTAAGTATGCTGAAATTGACTCAGGAGTACATTTTTTTTTAAACAATATTAATGTTTGAAGGAATGGCACTAGGCCTGGAAAATATTTCAGGTCTCAAAGTGTTTTTCAAGATATTTTGCAACAGCAGAGAGATTTGACAGTAAGACTATAATATTTCCTACTGTTGTGAAAATAATTGCTTGTTTATATGTAGAAATTCTTCACTTGCATCTGCCAGTCTTAAGTCTCTAGAACTTCCCACTTTCATGAGCAAAGCATTATAAGCATATTCTTCTGGGCTCTTCCAAGTTGGGGGAATCATTTAGATTTGATACATTTTCTTTCTCTATTTGGTCTTGTTTCCTTATTACCTATCCCATTATTTTCTCAACCCCTTTAACCACCCTTCATATCCTTAAACATTCGGCCCTGATGCTCCTCAGCATTTCTGCATCTGCATTATTCAGCTCAATAATTAATCAGAAATAATAATAACCTCTGTAAAGTGACCATTGCCTGGTTTTCTGCATCCTGTAGTTTTAAAGACCAGTTAGTTTCATTGTTGTTTTTGTGTGTGTGTGTAATTTGTTAGAGTATTTCATCACTACTGGCTTGAGTAGGAGCTGAAACTTCTTAGTGCTTTTCAGATGGCCTTCAGCACCTCAGTTTCTAGGTACCAAAGTTTCTGACTTAACTTCTGCTGGGTTGATGTCTTTTCTGCGATATTTTTGTTCCCCTTTCACCCAAGAAATAAGCCAACTTAGAAAGCATGAATTAGTTCCAGCCATTTTGTCTATGATGATGCAAAAAGCCAAAAACTTCCTGATTTTACAACTTCTCCCTAGTTTTACTCAATTGTAATATTATTCCTTTCCTCCTTTGATATATCAAAACTTCTTTAAGCACAAAGTGAGAAAGAATATTACACTGAAAGAATGACCCAAAACAAGGTAGAAGCATAGTTCATCTTTGTGAACCACACATATGATAGAATCCAACCACTGCCTCTGGAGAATGAAAATCCATCTGACAAGACAGGGCAAATTCATATCATTGTACATCCAGGAACAAAAGTAACTTTTATTGAAGTGCACAAGTAGTCAAAGCTTAAATTCCAGGGTCACTAATGGCACTAAGCACCAGATTTATGAATGTTTTTATTTATTTAGATTTTTATGTATTTTCATGGAATTGACCGGGCTGCTACGTGACTTAGACAGCCAGGTCTCATTCACTTACACATTTTTGTCAGAACACCCGGGCATCTAAGATGCTTCTGCCAGCACCTGGCAAATGTAACAATGATAGCAACTGACCTGCAAACAGTTATACCTGCCTCAAGACAGAGCCCTCTCCAGCACTAGGCATGAAAATAGCTGAGCAAACTGTAGCCAAAAGTCCCTGCCTCTTGTAAAGCCCATACACAGAGGTCTAGGCTGAATCTTAATACCCACTGCCACCCCATGAAACACCTGCGACAGCGTGCTTTGTGCCCATCACCGCAACAGCTACCGAAGCAATGAACACAATTCTATCAAATTCTTCCAGACCCCTAGGGGAAAACAAGGGATGTAGATAAAAGGTCACCTTTTATTTCCTCTGTGCCCCCAGTCAAGTATCATGATGCACACCTATTCCACAAAGACAGGTATCTGTTCCTTTAATGGGGCAAAAGCAGACAGTCCTTGGGGAAAGGTGTGATAAAGATGTGAGTGCTGGGCTTCCTGCCTCTTTCCAGCAGCTGGATGGACTGTTTGGGACATCCCACATTTTGCCAGAGGTCTGTAGCTGGGCATCGACAAAAGAAATCTACCAGCCACAGAGGGCTCTTTGCCATGAGACTGCATAGGACTAATATTTATCAGCCTGCATTTACCTGGAAACACTCTAAGGCAAAGGCTTTTTCTGGGTAGCACTGAAAACACCGTCACAAGTAACTACACGTAATGAATATGGATTTAACATTTAGAATTTTAAATAAGTTCAACCTACCAAATGTTGGCTGGACGGTGAAGGCTCTGTGAGGCTGAATAAAATCAATGTGGAATTCAAAATCTATTGGACAGCTGCACTGCAACGGGATAACATACTCCTTGCTGAAAAGAGAGAAATGAAGAACTAAATTAATGAAAATACAGTTGATCATCAATTGCAAGCTGGAAAATTATATTATATACGACATGCACTGAATTTATCTGCGTTCAGAGGGTTAGGTTACTTATTAATGTGAGAACAGGCATTCCTCATTGTTCCAAAATGGCAAAATACTTCAGATCTTTCACTCAAGTGAGGAAAGAGAGCTAAATCTTGATTTGAATGCTGGCTATTTTACATCTTGACTTACTTTCTCCTATCCATGCAGAATCTAATTACAGAAAAATTTATAAAATTTAATTTTTAGAAATTATTTATGTTTGTCCTCAAATTCTGACAAACTGCAATAACTAGCAAGTGCAAACAATCCAAACTGGAGCAACAATAAATACAGAACCAGAAATCAGCCTTCTCCCATGGCCCTCCTGGTGGAAAACGATGAGAAAAGACTGTGCACTCTTCAAAAGTGTTGAAAACTCCAACACATCAGAATGACTGGACTTGAACCACCTTAGAAATAATGATGCTGTGGCCTGATTTTCATAAAAGCCCTTTGTGTCTGATGCTGGTTGTGTGAGGGGTATTAGCACACATCTTTTCAAGCTGTCTTGCTTTTGTATGCATCTGTTTTCATGTATCAAATTGAAATACAAAAGCATTGCTATAACACCATCCATCATCCTACAAATCAGAACCAATTTACCAGGCTTATTTCTGGTTTTTGTAAACTGTCTGACTGAAATCTTATCCGGCTGATTAGCAAAGAATGCAAGTTAGTTATACACAGTGTTCCTTTGGAAAGCACATTTTGAAACCCCTAAGGAAATAAACAATAGCAAAGTCCTCTTTTCTCTGCCTTAATATGACCTGTTCATGAAGTAGATGTAACAGCAGACTGGGGAGGTTTTTAAGGTGCAGTGCAGCTTGTAGGGCAACTAAAATACCTTAAAAAAAAAAAAAAAGACAATTATGCAGCCTGTTGCCTGATGGAGAAAGCTGGGTGGTAGAATATAGGTCTTATCCTACACTTATGAAAGTAAAAGTCCATTTCCATCGATTTTCCATTGATTTTTCCATTTTCTATGGATTGAGCCCATAGTCCTTTGGGTTCTGTACAGTATCAAGTATCTTAGAGAGCTTTCATTTTTAGGAAAGTTTTTAATAGCCTAATGATGAAAAATAGTGGCAAAAATTAAGGTTTGAAACCATCAGTTTTCTCTTCAGGAACTCTTCCAAGTTCCTTCAGGGGCATCCCTGTTGTGTTGAGAAATCTTCCCGTTATTTAAATTCTATCTTGCACTTTGCCTAATCTCTTCTCTGTATTCTGAGAGTATGAAAATTCTGCATGCTTCAGCATTTGTTATAAAAATGGAGAAAATAAACAGAATCACATCATGCCTAGAGGCACCCAGAAAGTCAGGAGTTATGTTCAGTCCTGTGAGAAAGCTGCATTCTGATGGATTTGCTTATTTTACAGAGTAAGGGGAATTAGAAAAAACAAATAAACAAAAAGACACAAATGTTCTTTCCACAATGCTGGGCTCATTTTTACTGTAGAATTTTCTGTTTTCCTTGTATGTGTCTTGCATATTCATATTTCTGCGCTTCAGTAAAATTAATGAGTTACTTCCAACTCATAGGCTAGGACAAAACCTAGCTGCCAAGATTTTCAGTTCCTAGAATTCACTCAAATCTTTACACTAACACAAATCACCATAATTACAACTAATATGGTCAATATACTACAGAACTAGACCCTAATCAACAGGATCTCCCTTCTCCTTTTTGCCCTTCCTGGTTCCTGTTAACAATTATTACCAATTACTTCATAAGAACAGTCAGTGTTACATTCATCTAACTCTTTCTGTAGAACAGTCAGTGTTACATTCATCTAACTCTTTCTGTTGCATAAAGTCTCTAAGCCATTTAGAGCTCCACATCAGAAGACCACTTTAAATATTTTTAAATAGAAGAAGCAAATCTAATGACTGATCAATCTCTGGACTGAGGATAGCTACCACTTACACCTACCATTACTAGCTCATGTCTTCCTTTCAAGATGAAGGGTTCTGGAAATGAAGATGCATTCACTTAGGACTTATTAATGCTAAAAAGACATAGAACTTGAGAGTGTACAGATTATGAACAGCAGCCATGTCATTTCACCACACGATGACTGAAGTGAGTCAGCACGAATTTTGACTAACTGAAACTGTATATGTTTAGTTTGCACAGCATTTACTTTTCTGTGAAAGTGCGCTGTGAGCTTGAAACAGTTCATGTAAGGAATTATTTTGCAGCCCAGATGGTAGCTGACTTCACAAATAGAGGAAAATAAGATTTTTCAGATTTTGTGTATGTCTCACAAAATGTGGACAAACGTCTGTCCTTAACTCACCTCTTACCAACTGATACATCAGACAGATTTATAAATGATGGAAATTCTACAACATTCACAGCAGGGTAAGCATGTACAGGAACGACTAATGTATCTTCTCCCTGAAAAAAAAAAAAAAAGGGGTAAATATTTGTTTCTTATAATGAACAGAAATAAAATGTTTGTGTAGTAGTTGGCCAGCAAGTGGGCATAAAACATCTTCAAGATCATCCCTGTGTTGCACCTCAGGACACTGATGTTCTACCTGCTTTCAGTATCCATCTGTCTTTCCATACTTTCAGCATCTAGAACTCCTCCAAGGCTGCTCAGCTAAGACATTACATCAGTGTGGCACAAAGGCTGCCCTACTGGCAAATAATAACAGAATGAGGAGGATATTCTACCCACAGCTCTGGGATGTTTATAGAGACAAAAATTTTGGATGCTTAAAATTAAATACTCCAATCCAGACTTACTGGGAATAAACCTATATGGTTTTAGGAGATTAATGGTACCTTTACTTTATCATTATGATCGTGTCCTAATAGTTGTTTCATTCCATTAGGATTGTAAATACATTTTTATAATAAATCCTCACCTGACAGTGAATTCGGATGCAGTCATAGTAATATCGCCACTCATCAGGACAAAAATCAACAGTAACCACATATGACAAGCCAGGGACAAGCCGGTGCTAGAAAACGACCCAAAATAAGATAGAACTTATGTAAAAGATGCTTATAAGACACAAAACCAGAGCAGCATGCAAAGACCAGTGTGAAGGCTTTCCAACACTTACTGTTTTGTTGTATTTGATCTGAAAATACTTTGTCTGGGGAGGTATTATGTGAAGGTTTATTACATCACCAGAAATATTTGTCAGCTTCTGTAGAACAAAAGAAAACCAAAACCACAGAACACTTTACGATATGAGGTCAGTTGAGAATGCCAACTGTACTTTCTGAGACTATCCATAGCAAAGAAGCTGTATTAAACAAGGAAGCAGTAATTTTTACTTTAGCAGAGATAATTCTGAACATGCTCTGAATTTAAAAGAAAAGCATGTAAACCTTGCATCCTGCATTTTTATTCTTTGGAACCAAGTCACAATTCCTTACCTAGGAATAACAGTCTTGCTAAAGAAGAAGCTACTGTTGAATCAAATTCTGATCCTGTTTTCCTTTTGTGCAAAAGGAACAAAAAATTAAACAAACTATTGACTTCACTTTTACAGAGTGAAACAACAGAAATTATGTAATATTCCATGGTTTTCAAAGCAAACCTTTGGATGCTGACAGTTCAGCCTGTAAAGCCTCCTGCCTCTTATTTACTTTCATTATATCTGGAGAACATAGTCTGCCATAATCACCCAACTTCTGCCTCAAAACACTTACCATATGAACAAAGAAGGCAGACAAAGGGAAAACAGAGAGAAGAAAAGGAAATACCCAAGCTATTCACAAGGAAAGGTTAATCAAACCTATGCACGGAGTACCTTTCCTTAGATTAAATTGCCCTTGGCAGAAGGCCAAAGGTGCTTTCAAAATCTTCCCACCAGTGAACATGTTTGCAGACACAGTGACAGTCCAAGTGCATTTTGAAAACAGTCTCTTACGGACTTAAAACATGAACCCTTGCACCCGATGTGCAAGTCATATTTCACTAACAGCTCTCACAGGCATGGGAAACAGAGAGGTAGAACAGAGACTGGAAAGGACAGTGATGCACACAGCAGCTGCTCATGTTCTGTTACCGCAGGACCACTGATTTTAAGTGCAGCTTTTTAGAGCACTCCATGGAGCAAAAGGCCTCAAGACCACAAGCAGTCTACTCAGCTTCTGTTATCCTTTTATGACCCTCAAGAGGATCCCTGCTCTGATACTCACCAGTGTCTGTTGGTGATGTTTTCCAACTTCATACCCTCCATAGTGTAACACAGCAGGCTCAGCCTGTACAACCTTGTTCCTCTGAAGCTCTGAATAAATCTCTACAGAGACAGATAATGAAACAGGGAGAAAAGGAGACCAGGTGAAACACACATGATGATTATTACTTACATTGATTAAGTATATTTATGTTGCACCCAATGCATTACAGAGAAAATAATGAGAAAGAGATTAATTCTTCTGTTAAGCAGGTGTGACTCTTTAAATGGAAAGTAAAGGCAGCAACTACTACCCCAGCAGAGACATGATCCTGTCACCAGTTTATCTTTTGGCATCATGGCTTCAGCAAGCTACCCCAAAACTTCAGGGTCAGCCAAGATCAGTACAGCCACTACTTCTTTCCTGACTACCTCTGCTATGATTTGGACTCACAGGAAGTGCAATTTAAGCAACAGGATGAAAGTTTTGTCTGTGAGTTGTGAAAAAAAATAAAATAGCAAAGTCCCTCCTAGGATTGCTTCAAGGTTGGGGAATAGTGAGAGAGCAGAAACTTACTTGATTCCAGCAGGTGATTGGGAACTGCATGTCTTTTTTCAGGTTCCTCCACTAGGCTGTCAAGAAGGACACTGGGAATTTTCTTGAAGGATTTCTTAGCAATTATGCTTTCTGTGGAGGTCGATTGAACCACGTCCATGTTACGACAGAAATTGAGTTTGAATGGTACTAAAGTTCCTCAGCACCTGGAGGTGAATCAAAACAACATAATGATCAAGATGTCTTCCCTTGCACTGATAACATCTGTTGCCTAAAACTGCCAAAAAACATTTAGGAGATGGAGTTACTTTTCTCCTACTGAAGTACACCATGAAACCTTGCTCCCACCACAAGCCCTAACATTTTGGGCATGTTCATCTGTTCGAGGGCTTACTGGGTATATTTGGCTTTCAGGACTATGTAAAACATCCCTCTCTTCCTTCACATACCCCCACAAAGAGAACGAGAGAAGGTTCTTCTGATAATTCCACTATCCAAACTAATCTCTGCAGAAATGTTCTTCCAATCTCTCCTGAGTGTTTGGGCTGTTAACTTGCAGATTCATTTTTAACTTTTAAATATTAATATGAGGGATAAGAAAATTGGCATTTGAATCTTTTGTTTGGATAGCATCATCTGGATTATTTGTTTAGTGAAGATAACTGTAAACCCAGAAGGCCACAAGTATCCTGTGTTAAGTAAGCACAGTTATCAGAACATAAACTACTCTAATGACAAGTGCAAATATTACACAAAAAGGACACCACACACAATCCATCCACAAAAAATTATCTGCATAAATATAGCACGCACCCCTTGGTTCTCCTATGAACTCCATGGAGAATAGACAAGACACTTTTGGAGAAAGTAACAAGTTCAAAAGCCACACTGGGTTTTTCAACCCTCAAGAAGGGGTCTGAAACCCCTTCATTTTGTATTTGTTCTTCATGAACAGGAAGGTGGGTGCACAGCTCAGGATGGTACCGCATAAATATCAATGCACAGGTGAACTCACCCAATGCTAGACAATGTAGACTCCTCCCGAGGCACCTTCCCGCTCCTGCAGCAGCGGCACGAAGGCTGATGAGCTGCTGGGACACCAGTTGTACGATCCACACTACGCCAGCGCTTTAAGATTCAACAATTCCAAAGTTGAATCATTAGTACCAAGAGCAGTATAGTATTTGTTTCGTCACTTTAACACTCTCATACCGGCCTGAATGACCTTAAAGGGCCTCAACCTAAAATTAACACCGATCAATAAAAGTTTGCGAGAAGTAAAGGCAGAGGGGAGCATCAAAGCGATGTCCAACGTACCTAGATCAGCACTTTTGAGGACTGAAGAGGTCCACCTCCCCCATTGCATTTTATGGTCTCATCTCTGGTATTTGTCTGGTTTTCTAGTCTGCTTTAAATCTTTCAGGCAGAAGATGAGAGGTGCTTCAAGCTCATAAAGTGCTGTTTTGATTTATGGTCTTGTGCAGTATTAAATAATAAATAAGCAAGAAGCTTAAAATAATGTGCTACCAGAACCCTGGCCTCAATAATATTTTCCACTCTGTGCCTCCAAGTACAAATTTTCCACTTGCAACAGAAATTCTACAAGAGGAACCGTATTATTGTGCACAACAGTAAGTTTCTTCTGAGGTAGTGAGACCAACCAAACTCGGACAAAAACGTGCTAAAAAAATTCTAAACATAAGGCTTACATTCTTTCCACTTGTGTTGTTCAACTTTAATTTATACAACCACCATCCTCTTTCTCTTGGTCAGCATTCCCCATCTGGAATACAAGTTTTGAAAAGCTGTAGACAGACTTACATTAGCAAAGGATTCCCCGTGTAAACTTATCAGTAATTTACAGTGATGCTACCATCGTCACTCACCAACGTTAATACCACCCTGCAGTGTTCCTCAAAGGGCTAATACAGGAGGAATGTTTACATTCCAAGGTCCTGGAATCTCTGACTGACAGACTGATGTTAAGTTTTCCCAGGACACCTGGGCAAAGACACCAACAAGAGAACTCTGGGGCTGTGAAATCCCAGCTCCCTTGCAGGCAGTGCCAAAACTCACCCCAAATCCCCTCAGACCAGGGAAGGTATCACCCTCCTTTTGTCATCACTTGGGGGTTTTGATCCCTTTGTGCCTCAGAGCTCCTAGCACCGCTAGAAAGGGATGCAGTTTAATGCCATTACATTCCGCGCGAGACTTGTAAAAGCACCGACGTGCTTTAGGAGCAATGGAAAACGTGCTTTTAAGGTCCACTCTACACAATTAGGCTAGAAGAGTTTGCTAGCTGGCAGAAGGGCTTAGAGCTTCTCACCACCTACCCCCGCCGGTGCCGCAGCCCCCTCAACCTCCAGCCCTGCCGCCGGGCGTCCCGCCCCAACCCCTTGGAGCCTCTGCGAGCCCCGCAGGCCGAGGGAAGCCCCCTTCCTCCGCCCCACGCATCCCCACGGCCCGGAGGGAGCCTCTGTGAAACCCGTTCCTCCCCTCACAGCGGCTCCCGTTCCCGGCGGCCCGGCAGCCGGACACCCCGGCCGGCGGTGAGGCCCGGCCCTCACCTCAGCGCAGCGGCGGCCCCGCCGGTTGCTAGGCAACGGGGCAGCCCCAGCTGGGCCGCACCACTCGCGGTTTGAGGGGGGGGGAAAGGGGGGACTGGGGTTGGTGCGGGGGAGACCCCCCCCCCCCCCGCGCCCGGGGGCGCC